AAGAGTGAGACCCCCCGAACAAGTGTGCTGGCACACACTCTCTGGCTCCCTGTGGCTTCATCTCTAAAATAAGATCTGCTTGTTCCCTGGAACCTCGGTACCGTCATCATGCAGACTTACCCCGTCTGCATCTCTGTGCAGTGGGCATGTACCAGCAGCTACGTCAGAGTTCTCGTGAGAACATGATTGGAGAACGGATTTAAAGCGCAGGACACGATGCCTGGCAGGTACTAAGGGCTCAATAAATGTCACAGGACCTCATCCCTGACGCAAAACAATAGAACGTAGCCCTCAGAGTTCTGAAAAGATTAAGCGAAGCCATCCCAGAAGGCATCAGGAACAGCTGGTAAGTAATAAGTGCTCAATAAATGATAAAACTGTTAGGATGAAAAACTCACACTCACATGGATGGTCATGAATACTATTACTTCTTCGCCATTCCTACTGAACTCCTGCAAAGCGTCTGGCCCTGGGTCTGACTTCTGCACTGTGCCAACCCAAGCCACAGGGGCTTGTTTTTTTGTTTGTTTGGTTGGATTTTGTAACAATGTCCTTTTCTGGAAGGACTCTGAGTGTCTGACAGTCTGAAATGTTAACAGATATTTAAAATATTCATCTTTCTAACCTACTCAGCTATGACCTCAGACCATATTCTCCAGTATGTGTGAGCTGACTGCTAATTTTGCATTCTTGCTTCTAGATCATACTTTTTTCACTTACAGCTACAGAAGACTAAAAAAAAAAATCCCTTGGCAGTTTCTCAGTCCCTTTACTAAACCGGAGGTGGGTAAGGAAAGGATGGGGACCGGAAGCTCTGTATCCGAAGGTGGTCATGATGGAGGAGAAATGGTTAAAATCGCTTGGCAGTGAATTTAGCTCCACGAGTTGTAAGAAGCATGAACCTCAAACTGACACCTTGAACATGAACATAATGCTAAAAAGGAAAATGAACTAGTTTAAAATTTTTCAGAACTCCCCCCCTTTTTTGGAGAGGTTTTTGCTATAGGGCATGTGCGCTTGCCAGACAGAGACAGAAAGACAGAAAGCGAGAAATCACCCCCCCGGGGGGAGGGTCACCCTGCAACCCAGCTGGTAAGTAATAAGTGCTCAATAAATGATAAAACTGTTAGGATGAAAAACTCACACTCACATGGATGGTCATGAATACTATTACCTTCTTCACCATTTCCTACTGAACTCCTGCAAAGCGTCTGGCCCTGGGTCTGACTTCTGCACTGTGCCAACCCAAGCCACAGGGGCTTGTTTTTTTGTTTGTTTGGTTGGATTTTGTAACAATGTCCTTTTCTGGAAGGACTCTGAGTGTCTGACAGTCTGAAATGTTAACAGATATTTAAAATATTCATCTTTCTAACCTACTCAGCTATGACCTCAGACCATATTCTCCAGTATGTGTGAGCTGACTGCTAATTTTGCATTCTTGCTTCTAGATCATACTTTTTTCACTTACAGCTACAGAAGACTAAAAAAAAAAATCCCTTGGCAGTTTCTCAGTCCCTTTACTAAACCGGAGGTGGGTAAGGAAAGGATGGGGACCGGAAGCTCTGTATCCGAAGGTGGTCATGATGGAGGAGAAATGGTTAAAATCGCTTGGCAGTGAATTTAGCTCCACGAGTTGTAAGAAGCATGAACCTCAAACTGACACCTTGAACATGAACATAATGCTAAAAAGGAAAATGAACTAGTTTAAAATTTTTCAGAACTCCCCCCCTTTTTTGGAGAGGTTTTTGCTATAGGGCATGTGCGCTTGCCAGACAGAGACAGAAAGACAGAAAGCGAGAAATCACCCCCCCGGGGGGATGGTCACGCTGCAATCCCTTCTCCTCCATTCTCCTCTTGGGATCTTGGGCACACACGCACACACGCCCAGCGTGAGTTTTAAGCCACCGGGTCTGGGACGCAAACTGCGGTCGACTACATGGGAGTCCAGCGACATAGCCATTACTCTAACTGCTGGTCCCCAGAACTCCCCTTTTAAGTAGAACAAAAATATTCCCTGATCTACGTATTAATTGGCTTGCAAATATTTGCTGGGGTGCTATTAGGTGCGGGGTTCTACTCCTGGGTCTGGTAGGTATACGCAGGTGGACGCAGAGAAAATGCGAAGACTATATACAGACTTTACGGATGCATCCCTTCTGGTGAGGAGGTTTGGAAGAAGGCTTCGCTTTCCTACAGTCCCCAGTTTTCCCCTAGAAGCACGCCGATCTGCAGTGACGATGACTCTAAGCAAGTTCTCTGAACACGTAAACACTGAGCTGCTCGCGTCTGGAGGCTCTGAGCGGCAGGGTGGGGTGCTCACCCTTGGCCATGAACTCGGTGATGATGTAGATGGGCTCCTCCTTGGTGACCACAGCGTAGAGACGCACCAGCTTGTCATGCTGCAGGGTCTTCATGAGGTTGGCTTCTTCGAGGAACGCCTGCACTGACATGGTGCCTGGCTTCAGGGTCTTCACAGCCACCTTGGTGCTGTTGTTATAGTAACCTAGGGAGACAGGGAAGGCAGGGCTCACTTCAACAAACCGAAAACAGAAAACTCGAGAACTTCACTTTGTAGGTGCAGAGTTCGGAGAAAACGAAGTTTCGGATAGGAAGAGTCTTAGACGACACACTAGAGAGAGTGCAGTTAGGGGAGGCTGGGCGAAGGGCACAGGGCAGTCTTGGCAATTCCTTTACCCCATAAACCCTCAAAGTATAACTAGATCAAAACCTTTCTATATAACAAAAGTAAAAAAGAAAATTCTCTTTGTGTTCCACTAGGACTAACATTTTCCTCTAGTTAACAAAATATTCTTCGTTTAAGACAAAACCAAAGCCAGCAAAATAAACCGCACACACTGTAACCCCTCACAAATCAGATGTACACTATAAGCCCCACTTAAACAATCTCAGCATATTTTATAGACACACACATGTATGAACAGTCATCTGGATGAAAATACGCCAAAATACAACAAATACTGTCTGTCTCTGATGGTGGAACAATTATGGGTGATTTTTTTTTTTTTGGCCAGAGGGCAAGAGTGCTAGCCGAGAGGGAGAAGGCACCCCCCCAAGGGGTGACGGGCATGCCTCAATCCCTTTTGCTCCATTCTCCTCGAGGGAGTGAGGGTATGCACACATGCATGTCCAATGTCTTCCAAGCTGCCAGGTTTGGGACCTCCACCACATGGTCGGCCACACAGGATCCAGCCATCTTAACCACCATACCACCAGCTGGCCCTAAGGGCGGCTTAAATTCTGTGTACCGTACCTTGAACTATTCACCAAGTTTTCTGAAATGAATATTATTCTTATGAATAGTGTTGTTTTTATAATCAGAAAAAAAGGTGTTATACTCTGTAAAAATGACCTTTCTGTGCTAACTTTACAATTCAATATACAGGAACGAAGCGTCCCAGAGTTTTCAGAGAACCACACCTGGGTGACGCCTGCCGCCCCCACCAGACATCCAGCAAGTGCTTCAAGAGACTTCGGGGGGAACCTGGGTTGGTTCATGTTGGCACTTGCCACACTGTCGTCACCACGGAGCATTTGCTTTTGTCCTACTTTGCACTTCGTAGGACACACCTGAGGTCCTGACTCCTAACTGTAGCTCTGAGGCACTGCATCGCTGCAGCCGGACTCAGGGACGTGTTTGAGTCCTAACTTTCTCTCGGGAAAGTCTTCTCGGTGGTTTGGCAAATGAGAAATATAATAATGTCATTTTCCTTTGTTCTCTGTTTTCATACTTCTCTTGGAAGTGCAAAGGACAAAAACACTAAAGAGCAGGGGCAGGTGGTGGCATTGCAACTGGGCCCAAATGGGAAAGGTCCTGAGTTCGAGTCCCAGGACCTCCCCGGGCACACTAGGCATGTGTGTGCACATGCATGTGTGTGTGGGACACGCAGCCTGGCTGGGACTGGAAGTGCAGCAGACACGAGGACTCGGTTGGTGTGCTGGTCTCTCTGTCTCTCTCACAGAAGAAATAAATGAGTAATTGAAAAAAAAAAAAAAGAGGAGAACGGAGGAGAAGGGATTGCGGCGTGACCATCCTCCCTGGAGAGTGATTTCTCGCTTTCTGTCTATCTGACCCTCTGTCTGTCTGGCAAGCGCACGTGCCCTATAGCAAAAACCTCTCTCAAAAATAAAGAAAGAAACAGTGAAGAGGGAGTGACAGCTGGCGGTGCCGCCATAGATCCTCTGTGGGTACTGCCGCCCGGGCTGCTGCAGGTTTGCACGGAGACCTGCCCTGGGGGAAGGTGCGTGGAAGCATCTGGTCCCCCTTCGGGTCGCACTGTCCCTGTGAGTGTGTGGCGTGGACAGAAAAGCGGGTGCAGGTTCTGGGTGCAGCACAGACAATGAGCCCTGCTGGGCAGACCCTGCGGTGCCGTCTGCTTCCTCTTGTCCTTTTCTATTTGGTTAAATTTGCGAATGAGTATTTTTTAGAAAAACAAAATTATTCTTTTCTTTTTTAAGGTTTTTGCCACAGGGCACATATGCTTGAGGGGAGACAGAGAAAGGGAAAGTGAGAAACTAGTTCCCGGGGTGGGGAGGGATGGCCACGCCACAGTCCCTTCGTCTCCATTCACCTCCTGGGATTTGAGGCACACACACATGTACCCGGTGCGATTCTGAAGCCACCAGTTCTGGAACTCGAACCACGGTTAGCCATGTGGGAGTCTAGCAACATAACCACTCCACCACCTGCTGGCCCCAACGAGTCATTCTTAAAAAGAAAAAAATTTGTAAAACTTTTTTTTTTTTGGAGATATTTTTGCTATAGGGCATGTGTGCTTGCCAAAAAGATAGAGACAGAGAGAGAGAGAAAGTGAGAAGTTACCCCCCAGGGGAATGGCCACACCACAAACCCCTTCTCCTCATTCTCCTCCTGAGATTTTGGGCACGCATACACACGCGTCTGGTGTGAGGATTTTTAGGCCACCAGGACTGGGACTAGAACCATATAGTTGACGACATGGAAATTCAGCGAGGTAAGTATTATGCCATCTGCTAGCTCCAAGGCATTATTAAAACAAAACAAATTATTCTTCTACTTCTAAAACTTTAATTGGGTAAGAGGCGTGTGAGTTTATAGCTAACGCACAACTCTAGACAAGGATTCGTCTTCTGGCCATTGAGACAGACGTCCCCGCTCAAACACGTCCTGTAGTATCCTTCCTAGGTTTAGATTTCGTAGGAGCTTGCAGTGCCCCACAGGAAAATGAAGAATGCCGCATAAAATAAGTACTAAGGAGAGGGGATAGTAGTAGCTGACAAAAAAGTCGCCCTCGTTCTTCTCAAAAAGCCACAATTGACACAAAATAACGGAATCATATAAATGTATTCATTGCCTTGCCATCGAAAAGTGTAATTACAAGCCAATGACCTTCTCTATAGATTTTTGATAATTTTCTTTCTTTCTTATTTTTGATATAGAGCGTGTGCGCTTGACAGAAAGACAGAGAGAGACAGAGAAAGACAGAGAGAGACAGAGAGACAGAAAGTGAGAAGTCATCTCCTAGGGGAGATGACCACACTGCAATCCTTTCTCTTCCATTCTCCTCTCAGGATCCTAGGCACGCACGCACGCACACGCACCTAGTGTGAGTTTAAGCCACCAGGCCCGGGACTCGAACCGTGGTTGAGTACATCAGAGCCTAGCGACATAGCCATTACGCCAACTGCTGGTCCCAAGAGTAATTTTAAAGTAAATTATGGGGCATACAGGTGAAGTAGTGGTTAAGGGGGCTGGACTCCCGCATGGCCAACTATGGTTCAAGTGCCAGATCTGGCAACTTGCTTTCTTGCTTTCCCTCTCTCTCTCCATCTCTCTCTGGTCAAATTAAAATCAATCAATCAATAAAATTTAAAAAAAAGGTAAATTCCACCAAAAACTCTTTACTGTTACATTTGAATCGAGAAGATTTTATACTAAAGTTTCTTTACTTTCTAAATAAGTGCTCAGTGACACGAGTATATCTGTATACATTGGGTCAGTCGGTGGTGCAGTAGTGATGTAACTGGGACACACATGGGAAAGGCCCTCGGTTCAGGTCCTGGAGCCTCCCTGAGCCTGCCGGGCACACGTGTGTATGCCCATATTCCAGGTGGGCTGACTGGGAGTGGACGAGGGCATGGAAACCCTAGGGGTATACTTGTTTCTCTGTCACTTGGTCTCTCTCAGATGGAAGAAATAAATAAACAAATAAAAAACCAGAAATACACTCTCTGTGATTCATAGAATCAACAAAACTAGAATCCAATATATAAAGAATTCTTACAAATCAAGGAGAAAAATAGGCAAATAGGCAAAAGTTTGAATGGGCATTTCCAAAAGAAGACACTTAAATGACTAATAAGCACATGAAAGGTGCTCAGTGACCAGAGAAATGCAAGCAAAGCCATGTACAAACCATCCCCTGACTTGACAAAAATGCATTATTTTATTTATTATTTTACTTAATTTTATTTATCACAATCATCATATTATTTTAATTGAAAAGAGACAGACAGAGGGAAACTGAGAAGCAAGCCGCCAGGTCCAGGACTCATACCATGGTCAGTCACGTGGGAGTCCATTGCTTTACCCACCATGCCACCAGTTGACCCTGACATAAATGTAAAAGTCTGACAATACCAATTGCTGGAGCACTCAAACCTTGGGAGGGACACTGGGGCAGCTCCCCAGGCCCCTTCTCTGTGCTCATTCTCAGCATCACTGAGACTCAACTGCAAAGCTTCTGCAACATACCCCGAGGGCCCACGAAGGGCAGGAACACAGCCTCCTTCCAAGGAACCACACCCAGGTACGGCCTCGCCCAGCCCTTCTAGGTCTGACTATTGTCGGGAAAGGGAACGCTGAGAACTCCCCTAGGTCACTGGTGAGAATCTAAAGTGAGCTGGCAGCACTTAGTAGGTTTCAATGTGCAAACACCCTACACTCAGATAATCCTTGCAACCACAGAGAAACCTGTGGATCCTCGCACTGGCACAAAAATGCTCACCGCTGGGCCTGCACTGGACTCCAGTATGTCTGACGGCTATTCGAGTCCTGGTGGCTTGAAAAATCACACAAGGCGCGTGTGCGCGTGTGCCCAAAATCCCAGGAGGAGGAGGGAGAAAGGACTATGGCGTGGCCATCCCCCCAGGGCTGACTTCTCACCTTCCCTCTCACTGTCTCGGTCTCTCTCCAGCTAGCACATGCAAAATCCTCAAAAGAAAACAAAAGTTCATAGCGTCACTGTTCACAGTAGCCAAAACCTGGGAACAACGCCGGCTGCATCCGTCAGGAGTAAAATGGACGGACAAATGGCTGTGTCCTGAACACACCCACCACACATCACACAGCTACAAAACAAATGAGTTCTAGCCACGCCCAAACGAGCAGGAAATTACACACGCGTTGAGTAAAAGGGATACGATGTGAAGAGCGCATCTGTTGTGACCCATTATCATATAAAGTCTGAAAGCAGGCATGGGTGGCCAGCTGTGGCGGCGCGGTGG